ACTACCTTTATGAGTAATTTAACTTTATATTCGTAATTTTACTATATACTTACGGCATATTGTTGGAAAACCCCTGGTTATTCTAATAAAGGCTTCAACCTCTTATATTATTTAAAATCATTATAATCATAGAGAATGTATTTAGTGACGTCTATATGACGTCAGTGTGAAACCGCCTTCACTGGTGAGTGGACAGGAGTTGTACGTGGCGGATTCGTGTATAACTGAGTCACTCATTTGAGTACAGGACGCATGCGCGTTATCCATATATATTATGTTGACCACATGAACTACCATAAGAAAGATAGATATTAATAATAGTAGATAATAATTTTTATGTAGTGGTTCCCTGAGACATGAAAATTACTTCGCGAGTTCCACAAGGGTAAAATTTTGAGAAACGCTGATATAGACAATATTAAATGTGTCGTAGCCTCATCCTTTAATTCCAGGAACAGCCGTAGAAAAAAAGAAAAAAAAAGAAAGAAAAAAAGCTGAATGAAATTTCATTATCAAACATAATGCCGACCATTTTTGATTAAATAAAAACTTTGGTATTCTCAATAAACATACGTTTAAAAAAAATAACATCTGAAACAGTCGCGTTGTTTGACTAAACCTCACTATATTTGTGTAGTGATTTTCTAAGCGCTGCTTAGATGTGGCACAAGACCGGAAGTATGTAGCACCCAGTGACGATCGAACTCACTACTCAGTCGTGATTGTTCTAGTGAGACAAGTTTACTAACCATTGCACCACGCCGAGGTGCCCCCTCACTTTATTTGTGTACAAGTGTATATATTCCTCTATGTACCTATTTTCATTACTATACGAACAGCATGGCCCGGCGTTGCCCGTGCTTGATTCAAAAATCGTACGACTCGTACAGCAATCGCTATCACTTGACTTAAAATATTTTTGCCCTTCCTTGCTTTTAAAAGAGTGCCCTTTGCCGTGCTGATGTTGCTACATGCCTTCTTGCCTATATCACATTGCGAATTTTTCTAAGCTCTATACTAAACATTAAATCTGTTAGAAAAAAGAACTAAACAAAATGAACACAAAACGATCAGCTTTAAAAAAAAAAAAAGGACTCGTAACTGGAAAAACCGAATGAAGAAAGAATGTTAACAACAAATACTTTTTCACACCCAACCCACTTCTGCGGAATCATAATCAACATTGAGTTTAAGCAAGCGAATGAGCCAATTGGAGTAACGTGCCAGGCAAATTTAAATTTTGTCCCACTTGTGACGAATGCTAGCATGCTAGTTAACATTCGTGTCAGTCAGCTGTTGGCTCTTACGCTGGCCAATAGAATCTTCCTGCCTATTCGTGGCAGCCAGCTATAGGCTCTAACTCTGGCCAGTAGAAAATGGCAAACTACATGAAAACTGCCGTAGAAGCATGAAAAAATCGATTATTTCCACTATCGATGGGAGTGAGAAATGCAAAGTCGGTCTTGGCCTTCTCGCTAACTTGAAGCATGTGTATGTAAATTTTGGTGCAAATCCGTCAAAAATTGCGGCCGTGCATTCGTTACACACACACACACACACACACACACACACACACACATCCTGCCTTTTATAGATAGAGATTCTGACCATGTATATGCATGCATATAAATGTTTATTTATTGTATACTTATTTCGTGAAGTTTCTATTTCTGCTTTTACCTATTTCGTTAATACTACTACTATTTTGTAATCATTATTATAACTAGTTTTAACCTGTGAAAATATCATGGTTTTTCTATTTTAATATTTTGATGAATCTTAATTCTTAAGATAATGATTGTGTAAGCTTTGGGCGTGTTCTACGACAATAAAATATCCGTGGAAATTCCCCATCGCATCGTTAAATATTTGAGCTCAACAACTCTAACAACATTTTTCAATAAGAACCACAAATATGAATGCTGGTCGTTATTTCAAGAAGTGGGTACAAATGAAAAAATTTGGAATTGATAACGTTTTCCATTTTATTGAAACCGCCGTTAAACATCTCTTTCTTTCTTTCTTTTTTTCTTTCCTTCTTTCTTTCTTTCTTTCTTTCTTTCTTTCTTTTTCTCACTGAAATTAAGAATTGTCTTTTCCCCTCTTTCCACGCGATCATAACGGAATAGTCCATTATTTATGAGGTATTGACAGGACATAACGGTCGTGCGAACTAACGAAGGAAAATACAAGCTCAATTATAATAGGATTATACTCATACTATTAACCCTATAGTTACAGATAATAAGCCCTTTACTTGCATAAGCCCATATTTATTATCGAAGGAGCGGAGACGCTTTTGGACTGGCTTGGGGCTACGTAAGCTTCATTTTGCAGCTTTGAAATCCAATTCTTGAAAAAAAGACAAAAAAAAAAAACACTTGAAATCAAAGCTGCAAAGGTAAGATTAAGTAGTCCCAGCCCAGATACAACAGCAATAATCCATTTTTTATATGGTCCGATCTGACTTTTAAAAACACAGTGCATGGCAAGAGGAGTTAGATACTTTCTGGAATGGTATCGATCATTTTTCCAGGCTTTTTCAGCAATGAATCTTATATATGAGTTCCACTGGAGATCTGGGATGAACATGAGTCACAAGAGAATTAAAGAAAATTTACTTCGTTGAGAGTCTTATTGTTTATCATGACAGGCTAATATTCAGTGCTTGATCGGTGATGATGAAACGACATTAATATAGTTTTGGAGGTATTGATGTTTACAAGACAGTTTTTCTCCCCTTGAGCTGTTAAAGCAAGATCAGAAAAGAGATCAGACACTGATCATGCTAATATTTAGAGGTACGCAAACTGTAATATTATCTGTGTAAATATTTACTGACGATTTGTTAATATTTCTGGGCAGATCGCTAATCGTATATAAACACGCAAACGATTCAGAATCTTTTCTATAACAAGTTTGAGAAAATATTATCATTAAACACACACACACACACACACACACACACGGGCATGCGCAGATGCGTCCGCACATACACTGACACACAAGAAAAGATTAGTGAACGAAGTCCTTTTTCTCTGCTCCATTGCACTACGCAGTAATTACTTTGAAAAATTTGCGTTTGCCGTAAAATAGCATTAGCGTAATTCTACTTAAGGCGGTTCAATACGTTCAGACATCTGTATAGTCGCTTGCTCCATCTATGAAGTATAGGCATCATGGTAAGCGTAACTGCGGTGTAATCGATCGGTAAATAGTTTCGTTTTTTTTTTTTAACGATGAAATATATACTTTGATATTGTCATGAAACAATCGTAATAACGATAAACAAATAGATCTATTATAAAAGATAAGAAATGTAGTTACTAATTTTATGTTTCTGAACAAAACATTTATTTATTTAATTTTCGAAATCTCATATTAAAAATGACAACATGCATTGTTAGAGTCTGTCTATATTTCTGAGATGAGGTATTATGTACATTATTTACATTATTCGGACTATTGTCCTCATCTTTGTCGCCATATTTATGCAACCACCTGAAGAAGGCCGGAGCGTACAACGGCCGAAACGTTATGATAAATATGGCGACAAAGATGAGGACAATAGTCCGAATAATGTAAATAATATGCATTGTTAGGTTTTTCTTTAATCCCAAATTCAAATGCATCAGTGGCTTCCACTTTCAGCAGGATAAAAATGGCTTTATTTAAATAACTCAGTAACTATATAATAATTATCAATGTGCATTTATTTATATATTTCCTGCCCATCTATAAGATTAGTACATTTCTTTTCCCTTCGTAACGATCTTTTATTTATGGATTGCCACATTCTAAATGACTTCAGAATAGTGTAGATTGTGTCCTTAATTTTAATTCAATGTCTTCTTTTTTCTTCTTCTTCTTCATAACTTACTTTCTTCTTGTTCTTAATTTTCGTTACCTATATTCTTATCGTTTTTTTTTTATTTTTCTTCATCAACATGGTGATGATGATGATCATCATCATCATTATCATAAGCTTGTGATTCTTCGCGTACCTTAACCTTCATCTTCTGCTTTATTGTCCTTATCTTTCCTCATCATATTTTTTTCATTTCCTCCGTCCTAATTCTTATTCTTCATCACCAACCTTCTACTCATTCTTTATTTCCCTCCATCCTCCTCATCCTATTCTTTTGAAAACAATATTAAATACTTCAAATAAGATTTCAGAAATAGAATGAAAAGGGCCGTTCAAAATACAATTTCAACTCAGTTTAAATGCTTGACCGCAAAGTCCAATTAACTTATTTCATTTGAATTTCTTAAGGATCCTTAACCTAAAAATGGTTTTCTTGTACAATGCATGGTTAATCTTTGAAAAACCTATTTTGAATACGTGGGGAACCTTGAAATGTGGAATTAGGAGACTTTCTGGTCACAATATTTGAATTCGAAGTCAATTATTTCGTACGGAGGAAATAGTTGAATTAAATCATTTGCATTTCAGACGCCGTATATCAGTGCCTCGATTAAAGCGACCATGTTCTTGTCCTGTTCCTCGTCCAATTCTACGAGTTCTATTCATTAGAATCTCCTACTGTACGTAAAATGCATTTCTGTTTTCATTTTTCTACGTTTTACTTTTTATTTGTATCGATAACGCCCAAATCATTTGTAAAGTTGAATTGTAAAGTCAATTATTTAATCTCACTTTAATCTCAATGCGCTCCAACCGCGAAAAATCTAAACTGGTAAAGCTTAAAGGAAGTAGTGTACAAGAATATTGAATAATTATAATTCAGATAAGCGTTAAGCTCACTAATTTTTAAAAACATATCCGTTATGAAAACTGAAAAAAATATTTCCAACAGGGTAGCGATGAGGGAAATAAAAATCTGTAAGAAAGAAAGAAAACAGAAGTAAAGACGAAAAATGAGACATTTTGCAAAGAGGGAAAGAAAAAAAGATGAAATACTGAAAAGAAAGAAAGGAAGAAAAGTTAAAAAGCAAAATGGCATATTTTACAAAGGGGGAAAGAAAAAGATGAAATTTTAGAAAGAAAGAAAGAAAGTATTAAAAAAGCAAAAGAAAAGAAGGAAAATGACATATCTTAGAAAGGAGGAAAGAAAAAAGATGTAATTGTGAAAAGAGAGAAAGAAAGAAAGAAATAAAGAAAGTAAGAATGTCTTAAAAAAGCAAAGGTAAAGAAGAAAATGGCATATATTACAAAGTAGGAAAGACAAAGATGGAATAACAGAAAGAAAGAAAGAAAGAAAGAAAGAAAAGAAAGAAAGAAAAGAAAGAAAGAAAAGATTGAAAAAGTAAGATGACATATTTTATAAAGAGGGAAAGTGAATTTGAAAAGGATGAAATAGTGAAAAAGAAGGAAAGAAAAGTATTACAAAAAGTAAAAGTAAAGGAATAAAATGGCATATCTGACAAAGAGGGAGAGAAAAAAAGATGAAATAATAAAAAGATAGAAAGAAAAAAGGGCACAGATTTAAAAAAAAGCAAAAAGTGAAGAAAAAAAATGACGCATTTTACAAAGAGTGTAAAAAGGATGAAATATTGAAAATAAATAAAGAAAGAAAAAAAGTAAAAAACAGTCTTAAAAGAGCAAAAGATAAATAATTAAATATTTTATAAAGAGGGGAAGACAAAAGATGTAAGAGTAAAAATAAAGAGAGAGAAGAAAGAAAAAGAAATAAGAAAAGCATTAAAAAAGCAAAATTAAAGATGAAAAATCATATATTTTACAAAACAGGAAGGAAGAAAGAAAGAAAGAAAGAATTAACAAAGCAAATTGATACATTTTAGAAAGAAGGAAAGAACAAATATAAACTAGTAAAATGAAAGCAAGCAAGAAAAAAGTATTAAAAAATCAAAAAGAAAAAAATTTACAAAGAAAAAAGATGAAAATAGTGAAATTAAGGAAAGAAGATAGGACAATTTTTATAAAAGAAAAATGAAATAAGAAAAACAGCAAATTTTACCAAGAGAAAAGAAAGATAAAATAGTGAAAAGATAGAAAGAAATGTATTAAAAAAGAAAAAATGCTACATTTTCCAAAAAGGGAAAGAAAAAGATAAAAGGTGAAATGAAAATTTGAATGAAATAAAGAAAGAAAAATATTAAATAGGCGAAAGTAAAGAAGAAAAATGTTACAAAACAGGAAACACACACAATCTGATGAAGTCCTAACGGATGAAACGCGTCACAATTTATTTTTAATTTGTCATACATATTTTCTTTCAAAACAGGAAAGAAAAATAATGAATGAAAATATTAAAAAAGTAAAAGTAAAGAAGAAAAATTATCAGAAAAACATGAAACTGTGAAAAGATAGAAAGAAAGAAAGAAAAAAAAAAGAAACGTATTAAAAAAGCAAAAGTAAAGAAAAATTACATATACAAAGGGGGTGGAAGAAAAAGATGAAATACTGAAAAGAAAAAAAACAGAAAGAAAGAATGAATGAATGAATGAATGAGTAATGAAAGAAACATATTAAAAAGTACAAAAAGAAATTATCACAAAAAGGTTGAAATAGTTGAAAGAAAGAAAGAAGAAAATAAAGAAAGAAAGTAAAGCATTAGAAAAGCAAAAGTAAAGAAGAAAAATGACGTAATTTACAAAGAAGTTGAAAGATGAAATGTTGAAATAAGAAAGAAAAAAAGAAAGAATGAAAGAAAGAGAGAAAGATATTATAAAAGTAAAAGTAAAGGAGAAAAGTGACACAAAGAAGAAAGAAGGACAGGAAATAAAGAGCACAAAGTAAAACGATAGAAAGATACGTGGAAGAAAAATAGAAAAGAAAAACGATAAAAAAGAAAGTGAGAATAACGCCTGAAAAAACAACAAAATCAACCAACCATGAAAAAGAATAATAAATGAAAACGAAAGAGTAAAAAAAGAAAAATGAAAAGAAAGTAAGAAGAAACCAATAAAAGGACGTCTTCCCTGGGAAACAGATGCGTGTGGTTAGCTCTGATGAACGGTAAGTGCAGAAAAAAACAAACAAAAAAAAACAACAAAATATACTGTTTGATTTGCCGTCGTGTTATGCGCCGCCATCATTAAAATGGCTGTCGAGGGAAGCGTATGATCACTTATGGTCGCTGCGACGGGTCCCCTCCCCCCTCTCCTGCTTTTCAGTCGAGATTCTATGTACTCTCAACAGTTATAAGATGAAAGAAAAACGCTTAATATTTTAGTCGAAATAAACTTAACCACCCCGACACCAACAAATACCTGGGTACCTCAAATAGTTAAGATAGCATATTTCACACAAACGTATATATATATATATATATATATATATATATATATATATATATATATATATATATATATATATATATATATATATATATGACAATGAATCATTCATACAAAAACTATTGTTCATGCCACATTGACTGATAAATTCCTACAACAAAAAAATTCTCAAATTGCCATATTAATAAAAAATGCACTCTCTTAAATTTTCAAAAAATTCAATCTTAGCATTGCGACTGCACGCTCAAAAAAAAAATGTATCCGTTACGGTTAACAATAACACATTTAAAAAAAAAAATAACATATTTCGATTCGTATTCAATTTTTTCGTCTCGGATGCTACATGTATTTTACTAAAAGCAAAATAATGTCCATGCCTGAGGATGACTGAATGTACAGTTGAAAGTACTTGCGTATTAAAGAAAGACCTTATATAGCTTATAATTAATAAAAACAAGGATCATAACATTCATCGAGTAATTTGTAGGTTAATGCAATGCAACTTTAAAATGTTTTTTGCGAAAGGATTTCGCCATTTTATATCATTAACTTTACTAATCTACTTTTTTGTATGAATGATTCATTGTAATATAAATTGAACTGCACCACATATTTGATATATATATATATATATATATATATATATATATATATATATATATATATATATATATATATATATAATATACATAATAACACCAATACACGCAATCTACATAAATCCAAAATTTAAAAAAATAATCAGTTTGTCTGACGATCGCAAAAGCGTTAAACCCAGGGTCACAAACTCACATCAATCCAACCAAAAATATATATATATATATATATATATATATATATATATATAAAGAAATAATCACACATAGAATCAATCAGAAGTATTAATGAGATTATTGGCGACATCCATCGCTAGAAACATAATATATGCATTAAAATACTGTTAATCCATAGTGCGAGTTGATCCACGTCGATAAACTTGATGTCTGTAGTTTTCAGTTTATTTGATGTTAAAATGCTAGTACTTACGAATAGTCCTCTATTCATCATCAGGCATGTGTTTTTTTCCTTATAAAATAAAAAACTTGGAGACGATATACTTGTATGTCGACCGAAAGATGTTTTTTGAATATCTGCTATTTTTGACGGTTGTGTAAGATCTCGGAACGTGCAAAGACGCAACGCAAAGTTTTTCAAAATTTTAAGTGAGAATTTTATTTAAATATTTCTTGTGATGTGTTAAATCCACGTATTCTATTTTTACAAGTGTATTCAGTTTTTAATGTCATGAACTAAGTATATAGTTCAATAATATAGTGTAATGTCTTAGTAGTAGTTTTTTTTATAGGAATTTTTATGTACTGCGGATCGATAGTTTTTTATAAACATAAAACATTAGGCAGCATATAATTATATGCTGCCTAATGTTTTATGTTTATATATATATATATATATATATATATATATATATATATATATATATATATATATCCGTTGATGATTGGTAGGGACAATTCCAAAGAGGATATGAATCCAAAGAGAGCTCAATGTAAGAAACAGAGCAATATAATAATAATAATAATAATAATAATAATAATAATAATAATAATAATAATAATAATCTTGTATCAGGTTGTACGGTGTTGGCACCCACTGAATATAAAACCCGACATGACAGAGTGGGCCAATATCTGCATTGGAAAATCTGCAACTTCTACGGGAAGAAAACTGAAAGAAACTGGTATGAACACTACCCAGACCCGGTTACGGAGATAGGACCTGTTACAATTCTATTGGATTGCACAATACACACTGACAGAACAATCAAGGCCAACCGGCCAGATATTGTTATTAAAGACCACAAACAAAAACGGTGCCTCCTTATTGCTATGGCAGTCCCTGCTGACTGCAATGTATCTTTGAAGATATTCAAAAAGTTGTCAAAGTACAAGGACCTTGAAATAGAAATCTCGAAAATGTGGCATATGGGAACATCAACAATCCCTGTTGTAGTTGGAGCCCTAGGACTGGTTGGAAAAGATTGCAGTAGACTAATTGAAGGGATTCCTGGAAGTCCATGCCTCAAGGAGATACAAAAAATTGTTCTGACAAGTATAGCCCACACCTTACGAAGGGCTTTATCTATGTAATTAATTTTTTTTTTTTTTTTTTTGTCAGTGGAAAGTGTCATGACGCCATTTCTAACCTTAGGTCCCTGGGCGGGACCCGGAAAGAAATGTGTAAACGCCAGAAATCAAAGAAAATAATAATAATAATAATAATAAGTACAGGCGATCCTTAAAAATCCATTCGGTATAAGTTATTTTATTCTTATTGAACATTTTTTTTGTTGGACGATAATCTATTAATTCTAGTGTTTACAGTCTTAGGGATTTGATTAATTATTGAGTTAGGGTGATTAGAGCTGACATTAATATAAATATAAAATATGAAATGGTTTGAATGTGTTGTTAGAGACGTTGAAAGTGATATCTAAAAAATGAATTATTTTAAGGTTAGATGAAATTTCAATTTTAAAACCTAGAAATTGGAAAGCTCTTATAATCTTTTTCTGCATTCTAGAAGATAGAGGATCATTATTATTTGGAATGAAAATAAGTCCATCATCTCTGTAAAGACCTACCTTTTTAGGATCAATAATCCTACTAAGACACTCAACCTCAATGTTGTAAGGGAATCTTAGTTTCATGCATTAATTCATTCTACCGTTTACATGAAACTGTCAGTCAACATGATGCAATGTTGATTTATTTCCAATATTATCTCTATATCTGTTTTAATTTGTTTATATCTATCTATCTATCTATCTATCTTTCTATCTTTTGTAATGATGAGTATTTGAGTAGACACTCCGTTTATTTAAACAATGATTATTTTCTCAACTGCGTTGGTCGGTAGAAGAAATAAACATTGTTTAAATAAACGGTGCATCTACTCCAATATCTGCATCCACTAAAAATAACGTTTGGAGTAATAAAAGTATGTCGGATTAAAAATAAAATCCATAAATTCTTTAGAAATTGCTTTGTTTACGTTTCGGATACGAAACTGGGCAGATATGGCTTTCGAGAAAATCTGAACAAGTGAAATTGCTTTAAGGCAAATGGAAACTTACTTGATTGTGATGTTTTCCAAAGTCGAGCGCTGAAAGCACGTCGGATCAGAGTTTCACTTCTCGTCTGGTACGTTATATTCACTTACGCGCAAATACCCTTGGGAAAGGTATCACCTCGCCTGTTCTCCTCCAGCTGTGGGTAAATTAGAAAGAATTGTATTAATAAAACATTATTATCACTAAAAAAAACAAACCTTTACAATATAAAAATATTTTTGGCTTTAAGTAACCCAAGTCAGGTTGATAAGCCGTAAAAAAACAAAACAAATCAATCATATACGTCTTGTAGTAATAAGTAATGTCGAATTATAAATAAAAAAAATACTTCCTGACAAATTATTTTGTTTGCGCTTCGAACACACACATTATATATATATATATATATATATATATATATATATATATATATATATATATAATAGCTGACCAATCCCTATTGCAGACGCACGTTCAGACACATTGGGTTTGCTCAACCTCCTGTGGTTTGTATTGCAACTATGTTGAGCAGACCTTAGTTACAGTTGCTGGAGAGAGAGCGTGTTATCTAGCGTGATTAACAATTTGAACAAGGCCAGCACGCTCAAGCCTCGGCCACGATGACGTGTGGCTTCATGCTAGCACAGCTATCGACGGCCCACAAAAGTTCCGTCTACCCAATTTTACTCACAAGGCTTGGGTCAAACCGTTTTTGGCATGGTTTTCATGCACTTTCCAGAGGTCCCGCACGCTTGGATCGACTCCGATAATACCAGAAAGTTTCCTTACTGACAAGTCGACCATGGTGAAATTCAAACCACTGTCTCATAGTCAGAAAGCGAACGTTATAACAATTCGGCTATATATATATATATATATATATATATATATATATATATATATATATATAAAACCATTGGTAAAAGGTATTAAACCCCTTCTTACTCCTCCAGCTATGGATAAATAGCAGAACAGAGTATGTTTTATAGCCTTGGATGGCAACTGGTCTAGAAGAAGGACAACTCTGAATTCAAAACCTGTGCAGGGTCGTTGGGGGACCTTGTGGCTCGTAGTGTACCAGGTCTCTGTATGCGGCCCTTCAAAAAATGTGGTTGGCTCTACACAAATCCTTCACTACTACAAACAAATCACATTTGCTGGTGTCTAGCTGTCGGTTCCTAAGAATTGAGCTGCTTGACCCCGATACATCAAATACGAAAGGTATATATATATATATATATATATATATATATATATATATATATATATATATATATATATATATGTATGTATGTATGTATTATTAAAAACGACAGACAAGGTACTACGATTGTTTTTTTATTTAATTTTTCTTGTGTTCGAACAAGTGTTTGATTTTTGGGACGCAGAGTATGTAGAAGACACTCCAAAAAAAAAAAAACAAAAAAAACACTTGTTCGAACACAAGAAAAATTAATAAAAGCTTAATTGTAGTAATTTTGTCTGTCGTTTTAATGAAACATGCATAAATGAAGGATTGCTCCCTAAATACACAGTATATATATATATATATATATATATATATATATATATATATATATATATATATATTTCTGATTTAGATATCATTCTGATATAGATTCATTTCTGTAGTTCACTGCCAACAGCAAGCAGAAATATTTCTCCTCCCGATGATGGCCATTTCGGTCGAAACTAGTCGAGGAATCTAAATGGAATAATAATAATAAAAAAAACGAAAGAATATTAATCTACAACCCAGTGTGTCTAATGATTTTAATTTTTTAATTTTTATTTTCTTATTGTTCAAAAATATATATATATATATATATATATATATATATATATATATATATATATATATATATATATATATATATATATATGTGAAAAGTGAATATAAATATAAATAAATATATATATATGTATAGTTATTTATATATTATATGTAAGGGTACTTATTAGAAAGCGCTCAATATCAGAGATAGAGCTAACATATTTGTTTGGATAGAAGTGAGTTTGACAAACTCACATCTATCCAAACAAATATATATATATATATATATATATATATATATATATAGTATGTGTGGGGGGGGAGCGAGATAAGATGAATACAAATATGAAGTTTGTCACTTAGCTGATTGGTGTTACCTTCAGCATTCCAAGTCCATAGTTTCGTAGACGGACTCGCCATCAATCAGTTCTTTCACTCGTCAAGGGGTATCAGCAATTGACTGTTGAAATTTCTCGTTTTTTTTTTCGGTTATATATTCACTTTTCGTGTGTGTAAGGTTGATTTCTTTACCTATCATAGTGTGTGTTTGTTCGTTTGTGTGCGTGTGTGCGTGTGTGCGTTTGCACTATCACGTGCCCGCCTGCGTGTACATGTGAAAGTATAGAATATCGTGGTCACCTCCTCTTTCTTGTCACTTTAGGCAGATTGGTGTACCTTGACAAAAAATATCGCAGCCTATTATATCTTCAATTAACTTATCCTCTATACTAAATGTGTCATAACTGATCCATATGTCAAGGTATTTGAAGTATTTTTTTGTTACTAATTTCACATCCTAGATTTTTATAATGCCATGACTGCTTTCATTCCAATTCCAGATCACAGTCTCTTCTTTGGTAAGGTTTATTTTGAGTTCTATATCTTGGAACACTTTGTAGAGGATGTTGATTTTGCGTTCAAGATCATTCTTATCCTAACTATGAATACCTACACCATCGGCATAGCCCCCATCATCATTAGTACATTGGCCTGGGGGTGGGGAGCAGGATCGTTAATTGTTATTGTAAGATGGATGTGCATTCAGAAGGAGCCATATTCGGGTAGATATATATTGAGAGTGAGGGATAGGTAGATAATTATCGATAGACATAAGTATATCTGAAATGTCTGTGCATATAGTATATATATATATATATATATATATATATATATATATATATATATATATATATATATATATATGTGTGTGTGTGTGTTTACAATGATACACATGCTTCAGGATAATTTTATATGTATCCTTTAAGAAGCCTAGATGTCTACAGAACGCCACACCATTCCCACTCACACGTATGCGTTTATACATGTATATTAGAAAGTAAATTTGTAAGTCAATTTACGAGTGTAATTAATTGGGCGAAAAACGATTTAGAAGCCCTAAGTACTTCAAGAAGGTCTCCGATTAGAACTTTGATGTCTTCTCGAACACCCCTACCCCCCCAAAAAAAAGAAGACCAACTCGTTCTAATGCTTCGCTAAAACAAAACAAAAATAAAATAAAATAAAAACGAATCAGCATATTTTCAAGATTCTCTTCGTCTTTTAAAGTTGGTTCGATAATAACACTTCAGATGGCAACATATTTTCAGCCGTAGTACCACTGCCGCACCCCATAATGAATTATATTCTCTTTGGCGCGTAACGAAGTAGGCAACGTTATTTTTCGATTTTTTTCTATTTCCTTTTTTTTCTTTTATAATTAATATTGCGGTGGGTTTCTTCATCTTTTTTTAATACTATTGTTCACACAATACAAGGCTCAAGAGCCACTCAAAGTAGAAGGCTACTGAATGTTGTTGCTGAAAAAGATGAAAAGGGTGGAGTAAGAAGTGGAACTTCCTCCTGACCAATGGAATACGAATGGGATTCGATTCTGCGTACCTCGAATGGCGGGTTAAAAGTCTACGAAACAGCTACAAAATTATAATATATATATTAAGATATTTTTATGTTTATACATTCTTTTTCTTATAGATGCAAATGTTTAAGTAAATGCACTGTTTATAATAAACAGTATTAACGACATTTACCGGCCTTAATGTCATAGAAAATATGCGTCCTCCGATAGAAATCGAACCTGTATCCTACACGAAACCATCATATAGCCTGACGTGCTTTACCGATTTAGCCACATTGGAGCGTTTAAGTTATCAAGGTCGATTTTACTGTTTTTGAACTACAGTTCTCCATGACTTTCTCTCGTACATTCATATCTGCTCGATGCGTATCCAAATGTAAACAAATGACGCCACACATTTTGAAATGGACAAAGTCCGACAATTATTTTAAGACATTTTTATGTTTATGCTTTCTTTTTTTTTTTATAGATACAAATATTTAAGTAAATGCTCTGTTTATAATTAACAGTATTAACGACATTTACCGGCCTGAATTTTAAACCTATATTATTAAATATAAAAATGAATGTTATTATATCTGATCATGAGCCGTTCTAATGTTCGAATGTTTGCTTTAATTTTTTGTGAAAATAAAGACAAAAATTGTCCAATGTTTGGATATTTTTTTTATTAAGTTGGCCCTAAAGTTTCGGCTCACATGAGCCATCCTCAGAGTGTTTATACAAGTGAAAGAAAGATATCCATCGTCATAGCTGATATTTTGACATAGAAAATTACTATGAGACGATAATGTTAGCCGAAAACTTAAGACCAACTTAATAAAAAAATATCCAAATGTTGGACAATTTTTGTCTTTATTTTCACCCGAAATTAAAGCAAACATTGGAACGGCTCATGATCAGACATAATAGGCATTCATTGTCTGTTATATTTAATAATATATGATTAAATAATGATCTGCTGCTCCAATACACACACATACGCACACACTATCTATCTATATATATATATATATATATAAATGAAATATATATATATATATATATATATATATATATATATATATATAAGTGAATATAGAAGTCAACACTTAGAGGTTCTAAGTGTTGACTTTTATGCTCACTTTTATATTTACACACGCTCTATCTCTGATATTGAGCACTTTATCCCATAAATATAGCACACCTTAAGACTATATTTTTATATATTATATATATATATATATATATATATATATATATATATATATGTGTGTGTGTGTGTGTGTGTGTGTGTGTGTGTGTGTGTGTGTGTGTGTGTAAGCAAATATATGGAAAATATATGGATATAGAATGATATGGAAATGGAAAAATATCTGAATATGCAATTATGCTGTTTTAAATTAACATTAAAACAGCATAATTGCATATTCGATTTTTGTTTTTCCATATATATTTTATATATATATATATATATATATATATATATATATATATATATATATATATATATATCTTAATTATTTCATCCCAAGCAGAGCGATAATGGCACTAAGACGCCAAGGCTTCTTTCCTTCAGCCGACAAAAACACAGCTTTGAAAACGTTTGCGAAACTACGTAGAAATCAGTTGAATGTGACATCTAAAGACTATAAAGTTACCTGCTGTTATTGGGGCTTTGAGAATGATAAACAAAGAAGCAAATAGATATGTGGGTTAAATTCATGATTACCCCAAATATATATGAATTACAAAAAATCATACTCATGGCTGCATCTCGCATCTTGCGTAGCTTTCTCTCCACGCAAAAACAGCAATTACATTTTTTTCTCTTTGATAGCATGGCGCTTCATCTTTTGATACGAAAGAACAACTTGACTCTGGTTGAGACCTGGGTGTAATTCGTACTACAAAAAGCAAAGGCAAAACACAACAACAATTATATGGAACTTTACAATGCACACACAGAAATCGCCTAGAAATCGTGATAAAAAACCAGTCAGTCAGTTATGTGCCATGCGTGATACACGCTTAGGCGATCATGTATCTTTCGATACATGACTGATGAGGCAAATCTTTTCCCGCAGTAGGTTGCCATTTCTTTCTGTGGTAGAACAGTTGCCATCCAAGGCTATTCTGCTATTTACCCATATCAGGGGGGAAAAGAAGAAGATTCATACCTTTCTCAAGGGCATTAGCAAGTAAGTGAATGTAATGGATTCGACTGGAATTCGAACTCGGCTCTCCTATTCCGAGCCGCTATCATTACTCCACCGTAGTCACTCGAAACATTTACTTTCTGTTATCACTCTCTTTCTACCTTTCTTTTTTTCTTTCTCCGTATTTAGTCTAAACACAACTACTTTCTCCTATGTCGCTTTCACTTTATTTTGTTTATTTTTCCTTTTCCTTCTCTTTATTTACTCTAAACACAATTACCTCCTGTTACCGCTTTCTTTCTTTCTTTCTTTCTTTCTTTCTTTCTACTTTTTTTTCTTTTTCCTTATTTAGTCTAAACACAACATAACGTGGACCGATTTCAAATGTGAATTAAGTTTAAGCGTCTAATGATTTTTTTTTCATTTTCTTTCAGATTTAACAACTTAAGTCTTTGCCAATTTCAACCATGGAAAGATTACCAATCAAACAACGTGTTAAAGTTATCGAAGCCTATTACGAAAATGGACGTTCAAACAGAAATGCATTTCGCGCACTTTGCGATTTTTTTGGTCAACATAATCGACCAACCGACAGTGTAATTGGAAACGATGTAACGTTGTTCTGGAGATGTTCAATTCCTGAGCGCGATGACGAATAGAGGGGTCTGGATTTTCGGCCACATTCTCGTGCACTGCAGCAATGTTTTCAGCTGAACGGCGTAAACGGGCACACAATGGTGTTTTCACATCTTCCACCGACCCAGTTTGTTTGAATTTACGAGCAATTTTTCCTATTGCACTCTTGAAACTTTAACACGTTGTTTGATGGTTAATCTCTCCATGGTTGAAATTGCCAAAGACATAAGTTGTTAAATCTGAAAGAAAAAGAAAAAACATCATTAGACGCTTAAAATTAATTCACATTTAAAATCAGTCCAAGTTATTAAAATACCCTTTACTTTCTGTTATATATCTTTCTTTCTTTCTTTCTTTCTTTCTTTCTTTCTTTCTTTCTACAACTCTTGTTTGATGAAAGTTTTCTTTTTATCCTTTCATTCTTTTTATTTTCTGACTCAATATTTTCCTTCTTCATCACTTTTCTCTTTTTTTTTTTTTTTGAGTATTTTGTTCTCTTTTTCCTTTCTTCATTTCTTATCCAACTTTTCCTTCCATCCATATTTTCATCCTTTCGTCTTTTTGGTTCTCCTCTTCCCTCACACTTTCTCTTTCGTCACCCTTCCTCTCACCCCGTCTATCACTGTTACAAACTCCTCCATTTTTATCGCTAATCCCACAAGAGCTCGTGATAGTCGTACTGATTTCATTTGTCATAAGTTCTGACTTTAATCCTTAAAATGAAAACAGAACAAGACACCAGAAACCCAAAGATTTTATCGACTAAGCCATTCGGATCAATAAAAAAAATGGTAAAAGCTGTTTCTGAATGACAGCAAGTCAGACAAAAAAGAATAACAATAAAAAAAAAAACAATATAATTTGAAAAATATTTTTGTCCAATGTTTTTCTTTGGCGGTAAATCTTTTAAATTGCTGCTTATACGTATTAGTATTCTCAGATATTAAAAAAAAATTAAGGTGAAGTTGGACAATCGACACTGCGAACAGGAATAATTTTTGTTTTGAAAATCTTATTACTATATAAAGATTACGAGTATAAAAGAAATTATTAAATTTTATAAAAGGTGATAGGGGTTAATCGTTGCAAATTTTGACAAAATCCCAATAGGCAAAAACTCAACCTCTTCTTAGCCGGAAAAAAGTCACAATTTTTGCTCGGAAAAAATTTATGGCGACCGGTAATAAAGTCACGGACATGAAAGAAATTCAGATAAACAATTAAGGTAATTTAAACCAGTTATTATCTGGTAATACATGGCAGGATAAAAAAATATATATATATCGATGCATAAGGAGTGTGATGAACTTCAGAATGGACACTGTAGCACTTGAAATGGTGACTGTGAAATGCATTATCCAATATACAGTGTAACCCGGATATAAGAGAGTTGTCGGGACCGGAGAAGAAGTCTCTTATATCCGGGTTTGGTCTATTTTATATACATTAACGCAGGCTCTAATTTGGGATCAGAGAAAATCTCTCATATCTGGGTTTCTCTTATATCCGGGTTACACTGTATTTATAATGAATGTTGTAGCCCGTTGTTTTATGATAATAGTATAGAGGACCGTTGGGTTTGCGTGTTGTTAAATTAGGAAACACGTGCGTTTATTCCTGTTAGAAGAAGGTCCAACTACAAAAACAATGGCGGACTCAAGTTGAGTCCAACTGAAGATGTAAAGAAACTAAACAAGACGATATATATATATATATATATATATATATATATATATATATATATATATATATATATATATGTCAACAAATATATGTATTAAACAAATTTACACGTGACAAAGACATTAACATTTGTGTTTGTGTGTGAACGTAAAGAGTTTGTTCTTTGGTGAATGTTCGTACGTACGTGTATGTGTGGTTCATGGTGTTTTCCCATAAATGGCGGGAAAACGCAGATCTCTACGAGAGATCACATTTTTAAATGTGTCCACTGAAATGCAAAGTAGAAAAGAGAAAGAGGCAGGAAGTCACCCAGTATTTATAAGGTAGGGAGAGCGACCCCTAGTGAACAATTAGGGAATTAAGAAGGAGCTAACTCCGACAATAGTACCGTAATACTGGTATAAATAAATACGACGCCCTTCCATCTCGATCCCCAGGGGTTGGATCTTTTACTTGATTCTAAAGATCTAATCTTTTTTTCCTTTTTTTAAATTTTTTAAGCAAAACGCATTAATTTACCATCAGTTCTGCATATTCCTCGACTGAGACATTAACTTAATTGTGAGAATTCGGCAGTTTATCATGATAGGCTTTGTGTGACTCCTGTTTTTTTTTTATTAGTAAAATATTCAGATATATACCATGACAACAAAGTGAGGCATTTATATACATACATACATATATATATATATATATATATATATATATATAAGGATTTATTATCGAAAGGTTTGGTTGTTTCGACAGATAAAAGATCGGGTAATGTTGCTGTTAAATGGTCTGATATTTGGGTTGTCTTGTTGAATGAGTGAATTATTTAAAAAAAATTGTTATCCTAACAAAAATTTGTAGCAAAAGAACACGTAAAAAAATTCGCCGAAAACGATCGCATTAATGAAAACATGGAAATCCAAAAGTTCTGTAACATGAACTATTGAAAGTTAGAGAGTTATGTCCCTTTAATCGAAAAACGTGTGACACACTGACATTCGCATTTATCATATATATATATATATATATATATTGTGGGTTATCTGTCACCAATTTTTAAATTAATTTTCTAAATTTTTCACAAATACAGGTGTGTAAAAATATACTATCCCAAAGATACATTTAACTGTCTGATCCTATCAAAAGAAAAACAATTACTGTATTTGACAGCCTATTTCAGCAGGGCAAATCAAGAAAAAAAATTAGTAAAAATTATTAGTATATGGTACAGTCTAGTCTATATTTATGAGGTATTATTTTGGTTAAACAAGCCATGATTACAATTAAACGAAAAATAATAGGAAAAAAGAAAGCGGGACAATAAAAACTTTATTATATCCTTTATATGATCTGTACAACCTGCGTCTTGTAAACGTCTAAGTGGAATAATTAGGATATAAAAATTCTGATTGTACTTTTATACCAATGCAACCGGAAGTTATCGCAAGAAAAATATTAATGAAACAAATATATTTTACAAATATAATAGTGAAACAAAGTACTAATATTAAACGTGATGAAATTAATATAATGAATATTATCAATGAGAACACTTTTAATCTGCATAATAGCTTTTTAAATAATGACAATAGGTATATGAAAGTTACTCTAAAGTCTAAGTTAATAGGATTTGCCAGGTAGAGAATTTCGACCGAAAAAAAAACCTTTTTAAATACCACATCTCACTTTATAAAAGATCACCAATACATAAATTAAAAAGTGGTGACAGATGACCCATAAGAAACGTATTTTTAAAAATAGCGACAGATAACCCACAATATCCCAATATTTTTTTATAAATTTTTATTACTTCAAAAAATTAAATGAAAATACCGTTGCATATTGGCAGTCTTATGTTCTTAAGAAAAATTAAGTTAATGGCCTTTTAGTCTCGGTTTGAGGAATCGGAGAGCCAAGTTCGAATTTCGGTCGAATCTATTACATTCACTTATTATTGGGAAAGGTATGAATCCTCTTCTTCTCCCACCAGCTATGGGTCAATAGCAGGACAGACTGGGTTCTATAGCCTTGGATGGCAACTGGTCTACCGCAGAAAGAAATGGCAACCTACTGCGGGAAAAACTGCCGTGTCAGTCATGTATCGTAACTGACTGACCACATGAATAGGAGTTCATCTTTTGAATAACAAGAATTATATACCGCAGCGAGACAGTGGTGGGGGTATCAGTATATTAGGGATCCTTAGATGGGCATGGTCAAAAAAGGTTGTGAACCACTGGCTTAACCTGTATAGCAATATGAAAAAAATATTGTAAATTGATTATTTATGGTCTCAGTGCTTATGGTACAACTTTACTGAAATTTAAACTTTGTTCATTTTTTTACCACACTTCATATTACGCATGAGTTAAATTTACAAATTCGACATTATCGCTGTTAAAACTGAAACAAATACAGGAAAAGGTACAAACTTTAACTGGCAGTTAACTCCCCCTATTTGTATTTGCTATGACAAATCGGTGTAATTTATGATATATATATATATATATATATATATATATATATATATATATATATATATATATATATATATATATATATATATATATTGTTTCATTTCCATTCTGTTGCTCTTTTGCTGATGACTAACGATGATTCCACTCAACATCAGAGTTACCAAAACCTTGAAGAAAAATAAAAAAATGCAAGAAACAATCAAATAACCTAGGCTCTCCCCCCCCAAAAAAAATGACAAAGCTTATGCGTTATTTTCTTGCAATCAAACGTTTACCGCAAAGCGGAAAACACGAAAGAAATAAATCGCTTATGATCTGTATTACTTACGGTAGAAGTACTTTATATTCGGCGAAAAGTAGGAGAATGGAGAAACAGAAGAGAGAGAGAGAGAGAGAGAGAGAGAGAGAGATTTGTCACGTGACAGGCTTTTGGTAAACTCGGTTATAAACAAGTAATGCGATCTTCTATATTACGTGGCTTTCCAGATTGGTTTTCACACATGAATTAATCTTAGCTTTAGTCTTTGTTAAACGCCGTTATTTTTGACGTCCAAATATTTATGCATTAACAGTTCCTGCTTTTCAAATTTTAAAAGAAGCTGATTCTTTGCATGTCAAAAACTTTTCATTAGTTGGGTGAGAATTTGCAACGTAATTCGATTTTATATCATATTTAAAAAAAAAAAAATCGTCGTTTATAAACTGTAATTATTCTCAACTTCCGTCTTCTTAAGTTTGTTTTAGGAATATAATTGTGGAAAATTGTTCATAAAAAAAGGATGTTTTTAGAAAAAAAAAGATACGAAGTAAACGAAAATTTACTTATAAATTACTTAGGAAATGTATCTGGAAACTTTAAAAGGTTTTCATCATTTATGCTATTTTTTGTCCTCGGTATGACGATAAACTACATCTACAAGGACTCTGATCGGGATATTGGAGGTTTTGAGGAGTGCAGAACCACCTCTTAATTGCAGCTGTTCCCAGGTTAACCCTGACCTGGGATGGTACCACCTGTTAGGCTCCCAGCAATGAGAAAGAATGTAACCCCAAAACTCTGGTCAAAACACTATGAAAGTACAAATATACATTTTTATTGTGAAAATACCGTCCATGCATTTTCATTGTAAAAAATTACGAGCCATACATTTCTGAAAAAAAAAAAAATTAGAAGCAATATATTTAAAAAAAAAAAAATTTTGAAAAAAAAAAAATACCAGCAATATATTTTTGAAGAAAAAAAATTAACTGCAATACATATTTGAAAAAAAAAAAAAAAAATACAAATAATATATTTAAAAAAAAAATAAAAATTACCAAAAATACATTTTTGCAAAAAGAAATTATCAGCAACAAATTTTTGTAAATAAAATTACTAATGTTCCCAAGAAAATTAAATTTAGGCATTAAATGACCCATAAGGAATTGATATGCTGCTAAAAACAACAACAACAACAAAAAAATCACTAATTTTTCTAATCAACAATTCATCCCATGGTCACCATTTTGTGTTTCAATAACATCCTACCTGCAACCATATCGTATGTTGTAGTAGTAATAATAATGGTTTTCAATTGGATCATTGACTACACACGTAAAAAAAATTGTTATAGTTATCTACAAGCTCGAGTAACTTTCATTACCCTGAATTTGTATTTAAATCCAATGTTCAGTTGCTTAGAACTAACTTTGGTGACATTTTAATAAATCTAAAGAAGTGTGGGATTCTTACTTATGAAAAAATTTTGGAGCCATTTTTATTATTATTATCATTAACACCAGAACTATTGCGAAAGTGAAAATGTTATCTACTCAATAGTAAATATTTTATGTGGAACATAGCCAAGCGTGTAAATATTCAAAGAAAATTCTGGAACGTCCAAAAAAAAAAGCTTTATTGAGTCAAAATAATAATGATAAAACAAAACTTTGGAAAAAAAGAGTGATTTGTTCTCTTGCTGAGCTGTCAAAATGTTTATGTTTTTTAATTTAATCTTTTTTCTTTTTTTAGAAAGTTTTTGATTTTTCCATCCAAGGTTATAGAACCTGCTCTGTCATGCTACTTATCCATACGGGAGAAGAAGAGGATTCATACATTTACTCAAGGGTATTAGCATGGTATTTTTTCGAAAAAGGCCAATGGTAACTTAAGGTAGTGGGTTACTGAATCAGATTGTTGTGTGAGCGCCACAGGAGGAGGATAGATAATAGACTTGAAGAGGTTAAGAGCCACTCAAGGTAGATGCATACTGAATGAGGTTGATGTATGAATGTAAGAGAAGGAGGTAAAAAGAGCAGATTATGAGTGCGGATATGTAGGATAGATAATAGCTCAAGATTTGAGGTTTTTTTTCTCCCGGGAATCGATACTTCAAACATACAAATCAACCATTCGCCCTTGCATGGAGTATTGCTGCCATATATAGTCTGGGGCACCTTCTGTTTACCTCGGATCTCTTGACAAGATCCAGAGACGGATATGTAATATAATTGGCCCTGATCTGGCGTCTCGTCTACAGTCACTCTCTCACAAACGCGCCGTCACCTCTACAAATACTTTCACGGTAACTGCTCCGATGAGCTGCTTTCACTGGTTCCCAGACTCCATGAATTCAAGCGCCCTACGAGGCTGGCATCCCGCTCCCACCCTTACACTTTAGACACTTTTAAATGTAGCCGTCTCTTCTACTCCAATAGCTTCATATCTCACACCTCTCACCTGTGGAACACCCTTCCCTATTCCATTTTCCCTGAGAGCTATAATCTCCCACTATTCAAATGTAATGTCAATCGACATCTCCACTTACTTTGATCTATCCACTATCCCTCTCCTCATCCTTTCTTCTATCACTACTATCTGCTCTCGCTCCAAATCTTCTGCAACCCCCTGCATCCTAGTGTCTTCACGCCTTGCTCGGGGCGTAATGCTTAAAAAAAAGGTTGAGCCACTCAAGGTAGAAATTTATTGAATGAGGTTCTTGTATGAAATTAAAAGGAGATAAGAAGTGCTTAAACCTAGACTTGAAGATGTTAAAATTGTAGCGATTAGGAAAGTATGCTCTCGGGAGTCTCTTCCAAAATGTAGTGATTTTGGGGAATATGCTGAAGGAGTGGAACTTTCTTGTTACTAATGAGATATGAAGAGAATTGTGATATTTATCACATTGTGCATAGTAAGGCGTATTAGCTGAGAATGCCAGAATTGGTGGGAGAAAGAAATATAGCGCTTCAGAATATTTGCCATGGAAATATCGATAGACTACAAAGAGGCTTGCGATGCTTCGTCTGCTGGAAAGGGGTTGCGGGGTAAAAAAAATCCATCACCCACAAGGTCGCGTAGGTGTTTTAGAACACCCTGAAGACTGTTCTTACAGAAATACAACTGTACTTAAGGTAGAATGTATTTGTACAAAAACGAAGAACGACAAAAGAAGAAAAGAATTAAGGTTCTAAAGAGGGAGCATCATTTCAGAGTGGGAAGAATGAAAACAGAAAGAAAGAAAGAAAGAAAGAAAGAAAGAAAGAAAGAAAGAAAGAAAAGAAAGAAAGAAAGAGAACGAGAAGGAAAATGGGAAGCAAATGAAAAAGTAATGAAGGATCGAGACGAAGAAAAACACCAAGTAAAGGAAAATTTAAAACAAACTATGAAAAAAAATTGAATGAAAGAGAGAGACCAAAAAACACATATACGGAAATAAAGATGGAGATGTAAAAAAGGAAGGAAAATAAAAGTCGGGGTGGGGGTAAAGAAGGACACAGACAGATGAATCTGTAAAAGAAAGAAGAAGGAAAAAGAAAATGCTATTGAAAAAAAGAAAGAAAAAAGAAAAAGAAAGGGAACTATAAATGAAAAGAAAAAAGAAATAAATAAAACTACAAATGTGAAGGGAAAAGAAAGGAAAGAATTTATGAATGGAAAGAAGGAAAGAGAGAAAGGAAGAAAACGAAAGGAAGGAAACTATGAATGGAAAGAAAGAAAAAAGAGAGAAAAAAAGAAGACTGCCAATGGAAAGAAACAGAAAGAAAGAAAAAGGAAAAGTAAACTACCAATGGAAAGAAAGAAAAGGAAAGAAGGAAAAGAAAAAGAAAAGAGAAAATTACCAATGGAAAAAAAAGAAAGAAAGGAAAGATACTATTAATGGAAAGAAAGAAAAAGAAAGAAGGAAATAATGGAATATCAATGGAAAGAAAGAAAGGAAACTGCCAATAAAAAAGAAAGAAAAAAGATACTATCAATGGAAAGAAAGAATGGAATATTAATAGAAAGAAAGAAAAGAACGAAAAGAAACTGCCAATAAAAAAAGAAAGAAAAAAGATACTATCAATGGAAAGAAAGAAAGAAAGAATGGAATATTAATGGAAAGAAAGAAAAGAACGAAAAGAAACTGCCAATAAAAAAGTAAGAAAAAAGATACTTTCAATGGAAATAAAGAAAAAGAGAGAAGGAAAGAATGGAATATTAATGGAAAGAAAGAAAGAATGAAATTCAATACGTAAAGAAAGAAAAAAACAGTTAAAGGAAAAATACGGATTTTTAAAAAGCAACTATAATTTTAAAAAAATAAAAGTCTGGTTAAAAATGAAAAAGAAAAAAATTGATAAAAGAAAAAAATAAATAAATAAAAGCAATAAAGACAAATAAAACAAATAAAAAGCTAAGTGAGTGCCTTTAAAATTTCGATCCCGAAAAGTAACCAACAAAATGAAAGGTGGCTCTATTTGTTGCAAATTTTAGTTCCTACACACTCACATACAAACATTCTGATAAATATCACTTCAAATTTCAAGTATCATTTTTCAAATGTTCATTAATCTCCTTCAGTCTTATTTATTTGCTTTCAGAACAAGTCAAGAAAGAAAAAATCTAACGCCAAAGAAAACATGTTATTTGTTTGTTTGTTTTTTTAAATAGCAGAAGACAAGTGAATTTAAAATGTATTTATTCATGATTCTATAAATATTGATCTTTTCTCTGACATTGGCAGTTGAAATTTTAAATCTTTACTAGCTTTTTAACCCCACTCTTTACATATCACTCTTCTTCTTCTTCTTCTTCTTCTTCTTCTTCTTCTTCTTCTTCTTCTTCTTCTTCTTCTTCTTCTCTCAAGATTGTTTCATTAGAATTTATGTGCCTATGTTTTTGATGTTCCATTTAAAATGCACTACAAGAAATTTTATTTTTCCTTTCGCTGTTTCATCGTTTTTCTTTCATATTTCGTTATTCGTTCTTTCTCCGGTGATTTTCCATATTTTCTTATTTGTCTGTTACTTTCTTTCTTTCATAATATTCTTTAGGAATTATTCTTACATTTTATCTTTCTGTTTGACTTCCGTAATTTTTTATACTTTTTTCTGTAGATTTTTATTTCAGTTTTCTATTAATTTTCAGGATTTTTCTTTCTTTTGGTGATTTTCATTCTTTCTTATTTACTTGTTTCTCTTCCTCGTTTATTATATTCTTCAGGAACTTTTCTTTCTTTGAAGATTTTCATACTTTTTCTCTGTCTTTTTTTCTCTTGCTTTTGTAATTTCCGTCAAGATTTTTTTTTCTTCATTTCTTTGATGATTTTCATTCTTTTTCTCTCTCTGCTTTGGTCTTTCTTTTGCCATTTCCGTCAAAATTTTTCTTTTTTTGATGATTTTCATAGTTTCTTAATCTATTTTTGTCTTTCTTTTGTAATTTCTTCAAAATGTTTCTTTTATTCTTTGATAATGTTCATAATTACTTCTCTATCTATTTTTTGTCTTTCTTTTTTTTATTTCCGTCAAGAGTTTTTTTTATTTCTTTGATGGTTTTCCTACTTCCTTCTCTATCCACTTTTTGCGTGTGTGAGGATCGAACTCACTATTCAGTCGCAATTGATTTAACGAGACAAGCTCGTTAACCATTACACTTATTTCGAAGTACTAAGGCGCACTGATTAGCATAGTAGCTTAAAAAGTGATCGGTTTCTTTGGAAGTTCAATTCCTAAGTTCAATTCCTGTGTTTAAGCAGTGTGAAACTCTTTCGCATGAACCAGTATATAATAATTACTTAGCATTTGTATCCACTGTATTTTCTAATTATATTGTTTTTATAAGAAAAACTGTTATTAGAAAGTTTCACGGATATTAATTACATTTTCCTTTTTATTAGATAAAGCATTGTCAACCATTATTATTCCCTTTTGACTAGTATTCACTTTCATTCGCGTTTTCTTTGATCATCCGTTATTATTCATTTTTTACTTATATTTGCTTTCATCATTTTTCATTACATTAAGTATTATCAACCATTATTAATTTTTGACGAGTCTTTATTTTTATCTTCATTTTTAATTAGATGAGCCATTGCCAGCCATTATAAAATTTTGACTAGAATTTACTTTCATCTTCATTTTTAATTAGATGAAGTATTGTCAACCATTATAAAATTTTGACTACAATTTAATTTCATCTTCATTTTTAATTAGATGAAGCATTGCCAGCCATTATAAAATTTTGACTAGAATTTACTTTCATCTTCATTTTTAATTAGATGAAGCATTGCCAGCCATTATAAAATTTTGACTAGAATTTACCTTCATCTTCATTTTTAATTAGATGAACTATTGTCACCCATAATAAAATTTTGACGAGAATTTACTTTTATCTTCATTTTTAATTAGATGAAGCATTGCCAGCCATTATAAAATTTTGACTGGAATTTAATTTCATCTTCATTTTTAATTAGATGAAGCATTGCCAACCATTATAAACTTTCGACTAGAATTTACTTACATCTTCATTTTTTAATTAGATGAAGCATTGTCAACCATTATAAACTTTTGACTAGTGTTCATTTTCATCTTCATTTTCAAGAAATGAAGCATTATCAATCATTATTATTAATTTTTGACTAGTATTTACTAATCATTTAATCATTTTTGCCTAGTGTTTACTTACATTTTCATATCTTTATTGGAATTTTATGCCGAATTTTAAATGGCGTCAAATCTATGACGGTACGTTGACATGAATAAAGTGGAAATAAATGGTAATCTCGTTGTGATAATCGATATCCCGTCCTTTCCCTGCTTTGCCTAAAAGATATCTGCTTGAACGAACGAGCTGCTTTAACCTCTATTTTCCAAATTTGCACTGCTGTAGATTTGACAATCCGAGCAAAAGTTATAATAAAAAAACAAATAAAATAAAAAAAATGAAAGTCGTTCTTGTAAATCACTTATCTTCTATCCTTTCATTGATTAATCACAAAGGGCTTCAGCGAATAACGAAACCTAGATTAATGCAAAAATGCTTGATTCCATTGGTAAAGTTGAATTAAAAAAACAACACAAACATAATTCAACGAATAATTTATTGTTAAAACAGATAAATTTCGGAAAGTTTTTGCAATCATTGATCACTCTTGAGAAATAAATGAAAGGGTGACTAAGCTACATTGTACAGTGCAGCTAGTAAGATATATTATACATTAGTAGCTACATTGTATAAGGTAGAAGATACATTATACATTGTATAATCTAGAAGATACATTATTCATTAGTAGCTACATTGTATAATGTAGCTACTAAGCTACATTATACAATATATCTTAGTCACTGTTTCATTTATTTCTCAATCAAGTGATCAAGGATTGCAAAAGCATTACGAAATACACCTGTTTTAACAATAAATTATCCGTTGGAATTACAAGTTTTTGTTCTTTTTAAAATCTAGATGAGGTGAAGACTTCCAAAAGCAGCAACAACTAAATTGGGTAGCACATATAACTAGAAGCGGAAATAATATCATCAAGATAGTGACGTTCCACATTAACTAGAACGAAAGATTTGGAAGGAAAATGCCATCGTTTCTGGAAAGAGCGACAACAGTTAATGAACTCAAGATGTCTAATTGCTTGTAAAAATGTTTTACAAATTTCCAACTGACAGTAAGGGTAAATGGTCGGTCAATGAATGTCAAATTTTTCTTCATATGGAAACGGCTAATTTTACTATTACCAATTTAGCAACGAAGCAGAATCTTTTTTTTTTTCTTTTTTTCGCTTTTTATGAGGATTTTTTTCTTTTGGTTGTTTCCTGTTCATTTGTTTTTTATGTGTTTTTTTTTTCAATTCCTTTTCTCTTTTTGCATTCCGCTTCATTCTCTTTTTATATTTTTACTATTGTTTTATCCTTCTTTTTTTTCATTGTTCCCTCCTTTTATGGTTAAAGAAGGTCATCGGATTACGTCGGACCCAACGTACAGCGTTTCGTGGTTACAGCGCCATCTCCCATAATATAACACATCAGCACGCGGCAATATATGAAGAAGACGGCATTGTTTCTTCACTGGCTGTACGTCATATTGGATTGTATCTTTTGGGGGGAACTTCTTGCCTATCATTATGGCTCTCAAGTGTAAAGCAGACTCGTGGGTGCTTATGTAGGTTGGTTTCGATCCACGTTGAAAATCAGCTTACGTCGCGCTGTAGGAACGGAGCTCCGACGTAACTCGAGGACCCCCGTATTTTTGTTCTCTTTTTCATCTTATAACCTTCTTTCTTTCTTTCTTTCTTTCTTTCTTTCTTTCTTTCTCTTATACCCTGTCTTTCTTCATTTTATACGTTTCTTTCTTTCTTTCTTTTATACACTTTCTTTCTTTTTTCTTTCTTTTTTCTTTCTTTCTTTCTTTCTTTCTTTCTTTCTTTCTTTCTTTCTTTCTTTCTTTATCTTATACCCTGTCTTTCTTCATTTTATACGTTTCTTTCTTTCTTTTATACACTTTCTTTCTTTTTTCTTTCTTTTTTCTTTCTTTCTTTCTTTCTTTCTTTCTTCATTTTATGCCGTTTCTTTCTTTCTCCCTTTGACTCATTTTAATATCTCCTTCTTTTCTTATTTTCCTCCTCCTTTTCTATCGCCCTATTCATTACTCAACGTAGACCTCTCTCAGTTTATATTAAAAATCACTCTCTTTCTCTTTCATCTATTATTTAATTGTTCTTCTTACTCACTCACTCACTCACCCACCCACTCACTCACTCATTTACTACCCCCCCCCTCTCTCTCTCTCTCTCTCTTCATCACTGTATATTTTGTATTCGACATCTATCAATCCTCCTCCTACCTGTCTTCTATCAGTAAGTATCACATTTCAGTATCGTCCTCACCACTCCGACACCCTTAGTTAGCCTTAAGGGTGAAAGATTAAACGCGTAGAAATAATAATAATAATAATAATAATAATAATGATAAAACCAATTATTAATAATAATAATAATAATAATAGTAATAAAAGAAAAATGGAATAAAAAAGAAAATAAAGTTATGATTGTCTCCTGTGGAGATCAGTCCCTTAATCCTGTAGTTAAGCTCTTACGTATTGAAAGTAATCTCCAAGAATTCGTAGAGGGTGTTGAAGAAATTTAATCCTTTTAAAGGAATACAAAAAAAAAAAAAAAAAAGAAAAGATAAATGAGTATAAAACATTTTCAAAATGCCCGGAGGAAGATGTTTTGCATACAGGAAGATATGACTCCTACAAGATTTATCTCTTTGTACATTTTCTTAATTTCAAAGCCAACAGCAGTGAGAAGAATATCTATTCATACTTGCATAAGTATTATATATATATATATATATATATATATATATATATATATATATATATATATATATATATATATATATATATCATAAAAATAATATATCACACCATTAATCCAAAAAGGGCTCAATACCGATAGTAGACCAATAATTATTTATTATAATTTTTCATATAGACAAAGTACAATTCACTCACTACAAAGACGCAACTTCGTTTGGTGCATTTAGTTGCACCTCGACTGGTGAGAAGCAAAATGGTTACCAGTCGAGATGCAACTAAATGCACCGTAATGAATTGCATCTTTCTAGTGTGTAAATTGTTTTGTCTATATGAAAAAATTATATATATATATATATATATATATATATATATGCAAACTAATGAAGGGAAAGACAATCACAATTATTATATGATGTTTGGCCTACTAAAGTGGCCATCATCTAAAACTATTGTATTTTATAATGAAGAAAATCAACATTGATAAAATGAATTGCTAATTAGCATATTTGATGGTATATAAAATTCTATGCCCATTTCTACAGGAGTAAATTGTTGCTAGGCTCTTTAAATATTACTGGAATTGTATTCATCTTCCTTGTTTGGTTATGTTCAAAATAAGTTTCTTTTTAAGCGAATTTTTAAAATTTTAGGCATCTATGCAGACGACACTACCATTTACTCGTCTCTCAATAGTAAATCCGGCATTGTTGACAAAGTTAACCTGCCCGTTGGTCCTGAAAAGGACATTTAATCAGTGGTTAACTGGGGCAGGAAATGGCTTGTTAATTTTAATGCTTCCAAAGCGAAACTGCTCTCATTTAACAATCATAGAGAAACTTCCCTGCCTCCTATCAGCATGGTTGATATTCGACTTCACGAGAGTATCTCACTGCGACTTCTTGGCTTTACGTTTTCCACTGACATAAGATGAAACAACTAAATTGAATCAATAGCTGCATCTACCGCAAGGAAAGTTGGTTCTCTGTGTCGTGCCAGAAGGTTTTTCTCGTCAGTCCATCTTTCGCATCTACCATTCATCCATACATTGAATACTGTTGCCATATATGGTCTGGTGTCCCCGCTGTTCATCTCGAGGTTATCGGTAAAAATACAAAAACGTATCTGCAATGTGATCGGTCCTGACTTGGCATCTCGACTCCACTCACTTTTCCACAGACGGGATGTGGCTTCCATCTGGCTTTTCTAAAAATATTTTCATGGCATCTGCTCAGACGAGCTATTTTCCCTGGTGCTCCGACTGCATGAAATTAAGCGTGCTACTAGGTTGGCATCTCAGTCACAACCTTTTATTTTCGAAACAGTTAAATGTAATCGCCTCTTCTACTCCAACAGTTTCTTCTCTCGCACTTCCCGACAGCGGAACTCCCTTCCTCTTACTTGCTTCCCTTCAAAAATTTATATTGCAACGCCAATCGTAATCTTCTGATGCCTTGATTCCTGTTCTTCTTTTTATCCTTTCTTCAGTCCCCACCCCTGTACGTTTTCTCTTACTTTCACTCTCTGTAGACCCATACGTACTAGTGGCACTAGTGGCACTCCCGCATTGCTTGACTGAAATACTTAAAAAAAGAGAAAAAGTACATAAAATTGTCTGCAGATTTGGTGACTACGGTGGGAAATATTGTTGCATAATATCTTCTCTGACTAAACATAATGTTTACAGGACTTATAATATAGAATAAGTTCGACATGCTTATCAAGATTCGCAAAGTTTACCTTCATATTGTACAAGGCCAAATTGGAAGCAACAGAAAGTGTAAGATGGTGTTGCAACAATCTGCCAAAAAAGAACAGCTTGCTACCGAGAAAACGCATATTGAGAATCTTGGCTTTTAGTTGGGTTCAAATGTCAGGCGATGTTACTGAGGAGAAATAAATATCAACCCAACCAAGTAGGTCGACTGACAATGTTAGACAGTCATCGATTTGTTGTTAGGGCAATGAGTATTTGTTAGAAAGACATAAACCAATAAAATCAAGCGTATAAACCTAAATTAAAATATGCAACAAAAGAGAAGGCAAAGACTAACCTAAAACGAGAATGCTAAAACATTACTCAGATCAGTTCTGTTTGAGAAATCTGCAGCACCTTCCTCATGCACACACCTTCACTAATGCCACAAGATATAAACACGTGAGATTTACCTAACCAATTGTTATGGTCCGGTTCCTTGTACCACGGTGATAGTCCAAGGTAGAACCAATAAAAGAGGAACTCGAACACAGGTATGGAATAACACAGATATATTACAAACAGGAATATATACAGAGAAGTAGAAGTCTTAGTATGAACAATCAGGTTTAGTAGAGAAAACAGTGTAGTCTCGATAAGTATCACTATTCCAATGTCTTGCAGTAATTGTCTGAACACGACTCTATTTCGGACTGACTCCTTTGAACGACTGACTCGACTTGAACTACTGACTCTACTATATTTAGTCGTCCCCCCACGAGGGCGTCATGTGGCACAAGGCCTTTTTAACGTGGGCATTTCCGAGCCATTAGGCTCGGCCAAAAAATAGCCCATTTGAACCCGCATAAACGGGTTCAGGGCCGAGTTTTTTACCTCCCCGAAGGAGACTCCGCCTTCGGCGTAGCCTCCTTCGGGTTCCTCCCGCCCGTAGGAAGAGAGTTCAAACCGAGCAGTCTGTTCAAAAGTGAACTACTGACTCGACGATATTCAGTCACCCCCCCCCACGAGGGTGTCATGTGGCACAAGGCCTTTTTAACGTGGGAATTCCCGAGCCATTAGGCTCGGCCAAAAAATAGCCCATTTGAACCCGTATAAACGGGTTCTGGGCCGGTTTTACCTCCCGAAGGAGACTCCGCCCTTCGGCGTAGCCTCCTTCGGGTTCCTCCCGCCCGTAGGAAGAGAGTTCAAACAGAGCAGTCTGTTCAAAAGTGAACTACTGACTCGACAATATTCAGTCACCCCCCCCCACGAGGGTGTCATGTGGCACAAGGCCTTTTTAACGTGGGCATTCCTGGAGCCATTAGGCCCGGCCAAAAAATAGCCCATTTGAACCCGTATAAACGGGTTCTGGGCCGGTTTTACCTCCCCGAAGGAGACTCCGCCCTTCGGCGTAGCCTCCTTCGGGTTCCTCCCGCCCGTAGGAAGAGAGTTCAAACCGAGCAGTCTGTTCAAAAGTGAACTACTGACAATATTCAGTCACCCCCCCACGAGGGTGTCATGTGGCACAAGGCCTTTTTAACGTGGGCATTCCCGAGCCATTAGGCCCGGCCAAAAAATAGCCCATTTGAACCCGTATAAACGGGTTCTGGGCCGGTTTTACCTCCCCGAAGGAGACTCCGCCCTTCGGCGTAGCCTCCTTCGGGTTCCTCCCGCCCGTAGGAAGAGAGTTGAACCGAACAGTCAGTTCAGAGGTGAACGACTGACTCGACTCTTTGCCTACTCCTGAGGCGCAGTATTTATTAAGTATGGAATAGTCCATTATTATTATTATGGGTAAGATCCCATAACACCAATGAAAACAAACAGTACAGGATTTGAAAAACCAAACGTTCTTTTCCAAAACTCATTTCCAACAAAATTTCTGATGAGGCTAAAATAAATGCGAGATGTTAAATTTATGTCATTCGCAGACAGTAAAGTTTCGCTGTATCACAGCTCCTCAGTGCGACTAGACAACCGAATACCTCCAGCCCGGATCGAAACCCAACTGATTTGGTGTCAGTCAGAGATGTTAAATTTATAAACGTTTTCCTGTTTACACTATGTACATTGTTTGGACTGTTTTCCACATCTTTATTGCCATATTCACAACGTTTCGGCCGTTGTGCGCTTCGGCCCTCTTCAGGTGATATACGTTGGAATTTTGAACCGAACACTTTATTTCGTCCACGGGGGTAGATTCTTCTAGTTCCACGTGCCATGCCTTTTCTGGATATCTGTTTCAGTTATTTCCCTTTAGTAACTCAACCCTCAAAGGTTTTTAGACTCTGTTGTGGCCAGGTATTGAACTCACAACTCTATAAAGATGAGGACAACAGTCTGAGCAACGTAAATAGTTTAAATAGTTACAATACCTCATCTTGGGAATATAGACAGATGCTTTCCGATTTGTTCCTTACTTAATCCTTGTTGGCTGACAATGTTGGGAAGTCAAGGATTTCTTGTTAAAGCAGAGGAAATAGTTTAGTGGAACCATAGAACATTTCCTTTTTGGATCTAATTGTTAATATTATGAGGACATTTGTTAGAAAGGCATGAACCAGTCAAATCCAGCATATAAACCAATATAATAATGTACACCAAAAGGGAAGACAAAAATTAAAGCAAAATGATAATGTTGAAAAATTACTCAGACCAGAATATGAATAAGACATTATTATTATTATTATTATTGATTCCCGACGTACTTAATTAAAAATACATTCCGGGTTAGATCCGGACCCGCAATAACTAAAATTTTGGATTCCGAAGTTTTCATTATTACGGTTGTTTTTGGCGCGATTTTTTACGTGATTTTTCCGACGAATTTTTTGTACGATAACAAATTTTATAACTTAGAAATAAATTTGGGAATAATCGAAATTAA